AATTTTATGATTATATCTTAATTTTAATAATTTTTCTTATTATAAAAGAGTAATGATAGGGAGGATGAAAATTTAAAACTAATGACTTGATATAAATTATATAATTAAATTAGTTAATGCATATAATATCACATCTCTTAAAAAAAATCAATTATTAAATAATCTAAGATCTATTTTTTAATATTTTAGATAATGTGATATAAGTTAAATTTTAGTTCTAAATTTTGGTTTTATTTATCATTATTCTTAAAAAATGTTCTTTATTTTTATTTCTTTTTTAAGGATAAAATATGTAATAATAAAAATTGTTTCTAAATCCTTAATTTAAAGATAAATTCAAAAATGTTTATTATTTTAAGACAGAGAAAATACATTTTTAAAATTTTTACATGTAAAAGATTTTTTAAAAATTTTAATTTGATAAAAATAATATTATAATCTTAATTAATTAACAAATTAAGCTATCTTAATTATTTATCATTAGTTTTGATTAATTATAATTTAGTGCATTTAAGGATTTAGTTGAGTAAATTGTATTGTAAAATAGTTTGAATATAAAACTTAATTGAAAATTTTGTAAAGTTTATGGGGTTAAAGTATAATTTTTCACAACTACATGTGCCACATAATTGGTGCCACCTAAGCATGCTATGGGATTCCGTTAAAAAAACTAATTGCTGTTTATTGGATAGATGAATTTGAAATGATTTTCAAAGGTTGTTGATGATTTTGAAAGAAACTAAATTTTTTTGACTAAAATAAAAAGAAAGTAATAGTTAATAGATGAAAAATTAAATTTAACCTGACAAAATTTGTAAAATTTTTTTTGGCTTTGCACCTGGACAAGAACCAACAACTATAAGTTAAGTTAAAAGGTGTATCTTTTAAATTAAGAGTTGAGTTTCAAATTTCCTTACTTTCAACATAAATTTGTTTTAAAAAAATTGTAATTTTGGCTGGATATAGGCATTATACTCTTTCCATAAATATCTCTAATCAATAAAAAAAAATAAAAAATTTGGCACCAGAGCTGGTGTTATGGGTATTCTTTATTGCGGTATTAAGTAGCCTACAACTTCATATGGTAAAATTACTTCAGGTTTGACTTTTATGAATTTTAATTGAGTTAGCATTTAGAGGTTTTTTCTTCTAATGTGTTGCTGTACCAACAACCAATGACTGTCTTAAGTCATAATTCCCTGGGTCAAGGCCAACCCTTCACGCAGCGACGGAGCCAGGGGGGGTGAAAGGGGGGCGCTTGCCCTTGCTAGACTTTTGAAAAAAATTAAATAGGTCCTATACTTTTAAAAAAATTAAATAAACTTTTTTTTAAAAAAAATAAAATGATATGTTCTAATTTTTTTTATAGATCTTATAATAAATTACTAACTAAAATAAGTTTAACAAAATATTTTTATTTATTTGACATGCTTGTAATTGTAATATATGCATAATTAATAATTATTTGTATTAAACAACAAGATAAAATTATTTAAAATCAGTATTATCAATTCTTTAAAATATTTAGTTTTTTTATTTAGATCATATTAAGTAATATTTTGTAATAAAAATTATTTAAATTAAAATTTATATACATATAAATTTTAACAAATTTTTTAAATTTAAGATCTTTAAAATTTTAGTTTTTATATATTTAAATCTTAATCTTATTTATAAATTATAAGTCAAAACATTCATTTTTCTAACATGCACATTTCAAATAGCACTTCGCCTCCCCCTAAGATTACTTTCCACGGCAAAGCTATAGACCAAGACCACAATACTAAAGCTCAAAGTCTTCCCAGCTAAAATCAAACGAGAAGAGCCAACCGGGCCTGTGGCCCAATTGGTTGGCCCCCAAGCTTTAGGGCTTGGGTGAGGCGGAGGTCAGGGTTTCGAACTCTGCCACCGTCGTGAACTCCACCAACTTGCAACCTAATGGTTGCGCGGTTGTGCGCCTCAAATAAGGGGTGGAACGTTCACTTTCCTGAAAAAATTCCAGCTACTAACAACCTAACTCTACTAACTTCCTTACCATCTACTTGGTTAAAAAAAAAAAAAAAATCAAACGAGAAGAAAATAAATATGGCTTCGTTGTTAGAGAGTGACGGTCAATGCTAATATTAATCAAAGTCGACGGTATTCAAAAGAAAAATAAATAAAGTACACGGAGGACGTAAAATGATCCAAAAAGCACACCAGATCACGACTTTGAAGACCCACCTTAAATGAACCAAGGAAGATATTTGATAAACGTCTTACTTTTGACAAAGATAAGCTTTGGGCCATTTAAGTGATTGTCTATTTGTTGTCCACACATATTATAGCGATTTATCTTTGAATTCTTCACCAGTACACCAGACTGGGAAAATAGACTTTTTTTTATATACTGAAGAATTAATTTATAGGGAATAAATCACTTATGCTGCCTGTTCTTCCTCATATTTCTCCACAATGGAAGATATGAGAGATTCAACTGCAGTGCTACAAATTGTGAAAATTGTGAGGATGTTTGTTAAGTTTCATCCGCTATTAACAGTTACTAGTCTTATCTTTGGGCTTATATCTCTACAAGACTGGATTGAAGATGAGCTTAGCAATCAATGGAAAATTCTCAAGGTTTATTGCCAAGTAGCAATGAGAGCTTTGCTAGACCTGATTAATGAGAAGATGAAGAATCTATGTGAAGTCCTCCAAATGCATCTCAACAATGAAGCGACAAAGGGTCAACTAAAGGCCAAGCTAATTGGTAAGCTTGCCCTCTTCTTCGCCACATTTCTCTTGCTGGATACAGATTTTAATTCAAAATATGATAAAAGCGGGGCCAAAACGCTATTATTGTTGCATGTTGCCCATGACTTGCTAAATCGTTCGAACCTTTGGAGTCAACTCAAAATTCTACGTGGAAGGTGTAGCTGCATAACAAATTCAACATCAAACTTCACCTTCTTTATTCTAGCATTTGTTTTTGAAAGATTTTACAATAATTCATTAAGGAGCCTCATTGCTATGTTGTGCATCGCAATTTTTGTTTTATGTGTACTAGTTGTAGTACAACCACGAACAGATCTTGGGTTGTTTAGTTTCATCATTGGAGTCATTGGATCAATTACTTACAAGCGGTTCAAGTTCATGTTTCCCTCATGGATAATTGCCTCCATTTGTTTTGTGTTGATCAGTTTCAAAAGCTGGTTAGATAAGTATTGGTTGAATTTGGAAGAAGGTCAATCATTGACCTTTACAAATACCACAGCTAGAAACACCAGCTTGTTTTTGGTGTTTTTGGTTTTTTCATCAAGTGTTGTAAATTTTGCAGGAACTTTCTTTATAACTTTTGTTGTCAAACCTCCCTTGTCTAAGTATAAAGATTGGTTAGCTAAGGTAATCATTATTATGCTTTGGTGTGCTCGGTTATGTAAGGTCAATTCCCAGGATAGCTCATTGCCCCCTACAAATACCAGAAGAATCAATGGTTGGATTTTAGCCATTGTAAATGTTGCACAAGGCATGTTTTGGTTTGTTATTCATACATATCCTCTGGCTGATTATAAAGACTGGTTATTTTCAATAATCAGTTATATAGTTTTTTGTTTTTGGTTACGAAGATTTTTACCCAAAGATCTATCACTACCCTCCACAAATGGTAAAGGAATTACAAGCATGATTTTATCTTTAAAATCTATTGTCACATACAATATTGTGGTGTTGGTTGGTTTGGAACCTTGCATATACTACAGATATTAGTTAAATACGGTAATCTGTTATGTGCTTTGGTGGATTCAATTTCCTACGTCCTTTCCAAAATATCTGTTATTATCCACTACAGTTGAATTTAAAACTCTACAATGGTGGACAATGGCGATATTAATTAGCACGGCTTTAGAGTTCATATCTTGGACCAAAATCATGTAGAAAAGCACAAAATCAACAAGAAGGATGAAGATCTTGCATGCTGGATTGGAAGCACTTGGATATATAGGTTTCGTTTGAGAAACTTTTTTGATTCTTTAACTTATAGCTGTAGCTATAGATTAATATTGTCAAACTAAGTCATAGAAATTTTGATATTACTATGTCATTCTCTTTTTCATGGTTATATGCATTTGAGTTTTCTATTCTATAGTCTAATATATTTAAATTAAAAAATAAATTTTACAATTTAAACTATACCAAACTTAAAAAAAAAAAAAGAAAAAAAAAGAAGAGCTCTTTGTACATACTTATAAATTGGATTCTTTCTGTTACAAACACTCGTCTAACATTATGACACTTTGTAAGTTGTTAGGAAGGATCAATCCCAAGAAACCGTGTCAGCAGCCATTTCAAGCAGATTCCTTATGACACTTGGCTTTGAAAATTTCTCCAATGAATACTCAGCAGCCATTTCAAGCAGATTCCTTGTGCAATTCGACTTCTGCAGCTCCTTCAAATCCTCTGGGAGGTGAAGATAGGATGGCTGTAGGAGTGCGAAGTAGGTCTACTCGTGCTCCCCCTTCTTCACTCTTGATAAGAATGGCTATGAGGATATCAAGAGCAAGGTGGTTCTCCTTCTTGAGAAGAATTTTTCATTATCAGAATGGGTCCAGATCTGATCTTGGGTCCAATCCTTTCAATTCTAGCACTTGGATGATGCTGGAGTTCTTGGCTTTGGCTATTCAAATAACCATCATAACCTTCACTTTGGCCATATCCCAGAGGGAGAGGCCTGTTTGGCCTATGAGACTTTGGATTGTTGGATATGATAACGGCTGTGTTCTCAATCTGCTGTTACTCTGCGGGCGTTATCACCATGTTCACATGAGTTTAGGAGATGGTTTTGGCCTTTCAGATCTGGAACAACAAAGGGGAAATGAAGAATCCAGGTAAACTTTATATTTTCTGTTGAAAAGTGAATTCCTTGGATGCATTGTCATATTCAAACTGATGTTGCGATGAAAGTGATTCCTATTATATATATCATCTTTGTGGATTGTAGAATTTCAAATCAATTTAACATTTGATATATATCATCGCAAAGCACAAAACTTTCTCTTCACACCAATCAATTTAGTATATATTCGATGTTTCTTTCAAAATTAATGTTTCATCGGTACAAAAACTAAGGATGAGGAAATCAACTCATTTTACACTTTGCCATATTTATTCAGATATGGGATAGAAGAGATTCCTAATGTATATCATCAATATGGAGTATAGAATTTCAATCAAATGAGTAATTAATGATCCTTGAGAATGTTCCATTAGATCAAAATTTAAGAAAAACACCATCCAAAGTACTAATTAGGAACTTCAACGCCTTTAGGAAAGCAATGAACTAAGTTCACTTAAAAGTTTAGTAGTTTCATGGAAACAATTGCTTATTTAATCTTTATTGTTGATAAATGATATATAGTATGTACAGGAGCACGCATTTGATGAGCAAATGTCGGACTTCACTTGAGCTGTTTTTTGCAATATGGTTTGTGATGGGAAATGTTTGGGTGTTTGATTCCTGGTTTGGATCATTCCACCATGCTCCAAATCTCCATATTCTCTGCATCTCTTTGCTAGCCTGGAATGCTCTCAGCTACTCATTCCCATTCCTGTTGTTTCTATTTTTATGCTGTCTTGTGCCACTGATCAGCAGCCTACTTGGGTACAACATGAACATGGCGTCAACTGAGAAAGGAGCATCTGATGATCAAATTTCCCAGTTACCTAGCTGGAGATATAAAGCAGTCAATAACGATGTAGATGTTGGCAATGAAGTAGACTGCATTCCAACCCATGAAATTGAAGATGATCTGGTAAGTCATTAGCCTGAATAACAGAATCCTGGAATCTTAATTAAAGCCAAAGCCAGCTAACTTGTGCTTGGAATTAACACAAACAAGAATGTTGTATCTGCCTTGCCAAGTATAGAGTCAAGGAGAAGGTGAGGCAGCTGCCATGTTGTCATATATTTCACCTCAAGCGTGTGGATCAGTGGCTCAGATTCATCTCTAGTTGTCCTGAGTAAACAAGAAGTGAACAGGTAGAAAAAGAAAGCAAAATATGAACAACAAGTAGTGATTCTTCACCATTTTTTCTCTCCGAGTTTCTTCCTTTGGTTTGTATATTTTGCGAGGTTACTCTACGTGAGTGAGTTTTTGTATGTATTTACAATGTTGCTCACCTCTCCAGTAACCAGAAGGAAAAGCAAAACAGAACACTATACATAAACACGAGTATAGATTGTAGGAATCTGTATAGCTGAAGAAAGATACAGATAC